AAATTGATAGCTGTCTTAACTGACATGTTTATACAGTATTTGCATTCATTATTGCTAATTAGCATTATGTGCAAAAGTAATTTTGATGGGGAAGGTATATTCAGAAACCTAGAGTAGGATATTTTTAGAGTCCCTTTCTTGAACAATCATGGCATATTTAACAATACATTTCAAAGTAAAATAAAAATTGTAGGGAAGTTTTAAAATAAAAACAGGAAAGTCTTAGATTTTCCTTCTGTTATTCTGAAGCAAGCAGGAAAAGGCAGAACATAAAGATGCCTCCGATGCAAATTGCCCTAAATGTCTGTTAATAGGTCAACAAAAGAACTCCAGGTTTAAAAGGTTTTTATTTTTTAAGGCACTCAGATTTTGAAGATCAACTTCTGCTATTACAGGATATTTATATAAAAGGAATCTGATAGTGTTCGTGCATCCTGGTACCTTTGCTCATTGCTTAAACAAATTTTTGAAGTGCATGAAAGGAAAATGAGCTAATAAACATAATCTCACCCTTTATTTTCCAATTCCTTTTCTAATGCTTCACAAAGTTTGCAGTCACTTTGAAATGGTTTGAAGATAACATCACAGTATCTCTTGATAAAAAGGAGGCAAGTATGAGAATAATATTTAGATAGTCAATGTTGGACTACAGTCATCTGATTTGTGGGCTATTGCATTTTAGAAGCTTTATGAACCCTTTTGATCCTATAAGGATCATTTTATTAATTGCTTTAAGTGTTACTGCTAGAATTTGGCCCAGTGTATCTACATCTCTTTAGAATAAACTATACTTCTTAGGCAAACCTAATTAGTTTCTATGTCAGAAGAAAATTAATAACTTTTGAAAGGCAGTATGTTTCAGGTACCATTTCAAGTGCTTTCATATATAACCATCACAACTCCGTGGATTAGTTTTATACGATAACAATTTTATACGATAGAACAGTCTCGAGGAGGTCAAACTTCATGTCCAAGATCATAGAGCTAATAAGATGGGTAGCCAGAGTTCCCAGCTAAAATACCTGACTTCAAAATCAAAGTCTGGATTTCCATATTACACTGCTTCAGGATCCCAGTAAAGGAGGTCTAATTTATTGGTCCTAACTGTAGGCTTTGTCTGTAATATAAGCCTTCTCTTTGGGAGCTTAGACATTAGTGACAAACATGACGACACCAGCAATTGTCTGAGTATGAAAGTACATGAAAATTGAGATGTTTTTTCCTTAAGACTGTAGGAAGATGAGATGTAATTATTTGTGTCATAGGCTAAAATCATTCTATAGATCTTCAAGAGAAGACTAGACTTCCTACAAATAGATATGCCTGCCAGGGGTCATCTTTATCGAATATTAACTCAAAGTCCTTCAAACCCTAGGATTGTCTCACTCCTGGGAAGAACATACATCTGATGATATATCTGGTGAATAAAAATCATCCTCTTCTCCCTCAAAATTACCTAGTTTTTGTTGTAGATGGTTTAATAAACTTTTGAAGCTTTCAATAGATATCTTTGAAATATATTTTTAACGCCTCCCTCCACGCCCCTCCCCCCAAAAAAATTACTGCACAGTTGGGCTCAGAGCTCTCACTTCCTACATTAGTAAATTTGTCTTCGTGTCACTATTCATGAATTTAATAGAACCATGAGAAGTAAAAGACATTATATACATTTCTAAATATCTAAATCAATGTAGTGATTGTTCTCATTGAAGGCATTTGACTCTTTATGTTCATCCCCATATCCATCATATTCCACCAGAAAAATACAATCATTCATATCACTCTCATACTTAAAAATTATTTTAGTGATCAGTATATCTTTTCTGTGCTTTAGAGTGGTCATTATTGTGTCAATCTTTAGAAGCAGGTTTGTTCTTAAATTTAACTCAACCGAATTACCTAATGATTATCACCAATTGATACTCTATAAATCATCAGTAACAATCTAAAAATTGTGGATAAAAGCAAAATAAGTTTGCTAAATTGAAGAAAAAAGAAGAATCTCCAAGTCATTTATTCATCATTCTTTACTAATGTAACATTATTGAAAAATCTATTTTGGTAGAAACAACTTAAATGGGAAGCTTGCATTAACAATTTTTCCTTCAAGCAATTTCTCTTATCTTTCTTCCAAAAGTGGGGGAAGTTGGAGATGATTTGTCTGTTACAAAATAGACAGAATACTCGGAATTTCTCGTTTACAACTCCCAAGCTAAGCAGGTAGCAGCTGCTTATCTCAGATGTGCAGAGCATGAAACTCTACTGTTCCTCTGAATATTTAATTTAAACAATCAGAAAATGTGATATATCTACAGGATTCTAATTACTTGGCCCAGATGTCTTTCAGAATGCATCATAAATGTTACATAAAGTGTCATCCTTATACACGGAAAATATTTAAATTCGGAGCTTTATGAGGGAAATAGGGGCCCACTTATTAAACTGTAGTAAATAGAAAAAATATTTTTAGAGTTAGTCTCGTATGTTTTATTTGCCTTCAAATTGTACTGCTTTATTCAATTTTTTCTGAAGACTGTGTATCAAGATGGTCTTTATTATGCCAACAGTAAAGACAGCACTAGATGGACTTGGTCAACTCATAGATGCTGTGAGGGCTTCCAGAAGCTAGTTCTCTGTCTACCACAGATCTTCGGCAAAGACACTTTCAGTGTTTTCAGTTTCATTGGCCAGTCGCCTTTTCATGTGTTAACATGCTTTGGTGCCATTTTACAGTAACTACCATGTTATCTTGCAGAATTCTTTTTTTTTTTTCTCTCTGGTTTCTACCATTCTTTTTAAAGGGCATTGCCCTGCCTTAAGTCAGGGAATATTTAAGGAAACCATTCCTACTTGATTTGCATTGTTAAAGCCTAGACAAAATTTTACAAACTATGATTTAAAAAAAAAAAAAAGAAAGAGGCGCTATATCTTGTAACCTATTTTATGCAGTGAGAAACCCGAGTTGGTTTATTTTATAACTATCCAACATATCAGAATTCTTCACTTAGTGTGAGCTAAGCACTTACCCACTCAATTTCTATTCTATCAATAACTACCCATCCTTCAAAGCCAACTCAAATGCCTCCTCCCTTCCTACTCTTAATCCCCGAAGCATAATGCTAATATCACGAAGAGCACTTTTCTTACCCACTCTACTCTGGATTTTTTCATACCTGTCTTGCTTGAAGTAGGGTGGTATAGTGATATGAGTCCTGGTGAAAGTATCAGAATATCAGAATTCTAGTTTCAGCTATGTCACAAACTACCTGGGTGACTTTTACCAAACTTCATAATCTCTGTGGAGTACATAAAAAAATGCCAAAAGACTGATGAGGAAATCGAGCCTGAAAGCGGCCATGTAGCACCCAAGGTTGCTGAGCTAGAAGTGTAAACTCCTACTCTGACTCTGAAAACCATGCTTTTTCTATTGCCCATGCTAACCTCAAATACTGGAAGAATTTTGATGAGCACTGTTTTATAGTATTCCAGGGAATGGAACTGAAACCAGTGAGTAGAATCTGTTTAATATGATAATGTGCTCTGATTTTCCAAAAATATGTAATATGCAGCATTTCACAGATGTAACTGACCATGGGACTGCTCTTTCTTGGAACTTCTTCTGAGTTGCCCTTTTGGAAATGCTGGGTTAAGGCACTGTGTCCAAAGCACTGCCCTCAACGTGTAACCTTGTTAAATGGTTACAAAAAGACAAAACACATTATCAACCATTGATAATATCTCTGCATGAATCGGTTTCCTCAATTAAACTTCAGAGAATGTAACACTCACCAACTCTGAAGGCTTATAACTGTGGGAGCCTGGGCACTAGCCCAAAAGGGCCACCATGGCTGTGGTGCCCTCAGGAGGAAGACATGTCATGGTTTGAAAAATCAGGGAAGGATCACAGGACAGTTTAGGAAAAGTGTGTGTTGACTTAAAGGACAGCACAAGATAATAAGTTCCTAACACAAAGGATAGTTTCTTGGGGCTTAAATAGTCCTAAGTAGTTCCTTAACTCGATCTCAAATTCGATGTTTTAATTTCTCTTTGTATTAGATTTGTTTTTTCTTGTTTGTTTGTTTTTACTGTATAACAAATTTATCACATTTAACAGCATAAAACAGCTCCCATTTATGGTCTCACATTTTTCGTAGATCAAAAGTCTAGGCATGGCGGTCTCACAAGACTAAGATCGAGGTGATGGCTTGGAACATGTTCTCAGCTGGAGCTCAGAGTCCTTTTTTAAGCTTATTTAGATTGTTGATAAAATTCAGTTTCTTGCAGCTATGGAGAATAACGTCTCCATTTTCTTGCTGGCTGTTAGACAGGGGTCACTTTCAGCTCCTAGGAGGCCCTCAGGTCTAGCCTCATTTCCCATCCCCAATCCCATAGATAGTTCACAAAATGGCTGTTGTTTTCTCCCACACCAGCAACAGAGTTACCTCCAGATAAGAAATAATCTTCTTCTTTCTTTTAAGGGCCACCTGAATAGGTCACGCCCACCAAGGAAAATCTTATCTTGATCAAATCATAGTCAACTCTTTAGGAACTTACATCTGCAGAATCCCTTTTGTCTTGTAATATATCATAATCGTGGAGTGATTCAATCAAATACTTTTAAGGCCTTAAAATTCTGTTAATTCACATAAACCTATCAGTAACCACTCCAATCTGATCAATTTCTTTATGATTTCATGATGGATATGATGGCCTAATTACAATGATATACTGAAATAGCAAATCCTCATTGGAAAGCACTAAGTCAGAAGCAGTGAGGGGAAGAAGAGAGGAACTTGTCAATAATATTGCTTCTGATTCAGTACTGACAGCAGGCAGAAACCTTCCAGCCTGTATCTCTCCACAGACTGTTCTAAATCTCATCACCGACTCACAGCTGGCTCATATTTACCAATGCATTCAATTCTGAAACAAGACTGAAATACTTACTGTAGAATCACACAACTTTAGGACTGAGAAAAACACAGACTTTAAGATGATCAACACACAATCAGTTCCCCTTTGTAGCTTCTCTGACAAGTGGCTTCCCAGCCAGCTTCTTCGATCAGTCCATTTATCTTTGGTCAGTTCTGTCATAGTGTCATTCCTTACAGTGAACTGAAATCTGTCATTTGGTAGCTTCTTCCTCTTGATCCTAGATCTACCCCAAAAACTAAAAAAGAAAAAAGTCTAATTCTGCTCTCATCTGGTATCTCCTTAGATGAAGAAGCCGATGATTGTGATTGCGACTCCCTGAGTGGAAGAGGCTGTTGTAAATCTCCAGTGCATGATCTATTAGGCTACTGAGAAGTTACTTAGTATTTTAAAGAGAGAGGAAAGCATTTTGTGCATGTGTGTTAACATTTTTATTTTCTTAAATAAAAATGTTGATCAATAATGATTCCATTTGGATCTGATCATGCTTTCCTAATGTTTTCAGAGTGAAAGAGAAACCATCACTTTCTTTGCACAAGAGGACAGCACTTTCCCTGCACAGACTGGCCCCAAAGACTTCAAAATTCCCTACTCCATCAGACAGCGGATTTGTGCTACCTTTGATACCCCCAATGCCAAAGGCAAGGACTGGCAGATGTTAGCACAGAAAAACAGCATCAACAGGTAATTGGGGGCAACTTCTGAAAGAAGATTTTATTCAAAGAGCTTTGAAAATTGAAGTGGGTCGGGTGTATCCTTATCATTATCAGACTCTGATATCTTTGATTCCTCCGGCCACAGTTAATGTGAGGTTCAGCTAAGTAAGTGGGAACAGAGCAAGAACATGACCTTGTGTATGGCATTTCCTGCTATCACACTCTGCCTTTGGGGACATTACAGAAAAGCCCTACCATGGTCCTGGTCCTACCTCGAGGATTGCTAACTGGGCCACTCAAATAGGGAGTGTGTGTAGGGGGGTGTGGGGGAGCTGTTGAACTATGTCATCTCGGTGCTTATAAGCATCCCAGCACAGTCTTGAGCCAGAGATACAGCAGAAATTTCTCACACCTGCTCCCTACCATCAGGTAACCTTAAGCGTTATTTAACCCTTAATGGGGACATGCTCAGCCTGCAGAAGTGGGTGCCGCAATATAAAAAAGGAAGTTGGAGGAAAACTTACGTTTGAAGGCAGGGGGCATTAAACAATCAAAAGTGCCTAGGCACCGTGAATGAGTCTGCTGTTTAAACTGATACTGCTCATTACTGTGCTAACATTGTAGATAAAAGTGGAAAGGAAATTCATAATGGACTTTATAGATGAAAAAAAAAAGAAGGGGTGATGCTATCTGTAGCATTGTTGATGGGCAGGAGAGTTTTAGCTCCACTTGACAGATAACTAGTACAGGGAGAAAGCATTGAAAAACTGTATCTCCTCTTTTGCTAACCAACCTCACATGCCTGAGAATGAAAAGACAACAAATTTTGCCAGAACCGTCTTAGTTTCCTTTTGATACTATTTTTTCTTTTGAGGCAAAGTTTTTTCTTATTGTTTGACTTACTCTGTCATTTTTACTTTTTGTTCTTAATTTTCACAGACATCTTACCTGACTCTTACTTCTCTGAAAGGGAGGGTTGATGTCTGCCAAAAAAGAATAGAGTACTGTTCTCCAAAAGGGATCCAGAATCTAAGAACAAAGGACCCAAGGAGAAAGCAGTCAGGCTCAGAAAGGAAAATCAAGAGAGGAGGCATTGCAGCAACAGAAAACGGAATTTACTGAAATAGGCGGGCCTGAAAAGAATAGATACATTCCTGAAAAGACATATTAAAAACAAAAGAATACCAAAGTGAATGGGTTTACAGGGGAAAAAAATAATTTGAATATTTCCCAGCAACTTTGAAAAGTGAGATGTCTCATTTGTAATATATGAACACCATGACTACAACAAGTTCACTTTCTGATCAGCATGAGAACAAGAATGAAAAACTAACTCAGAGAACAGGGTTCAGTTTAAAAAGAACATTGGGCAGGAACTCAAAAGATCTGCAGGGCACTGCTTTTATAACCAATACCAGTCTGCGTCAATACATCACTTATCACCCCTATTTTTTTCTACAAATGCAATGCATAGAATTCGAACTCCGTTAACTTTCTAATCCATTCAGACTATAAGAGTTTATGATTTTTAATTCACCATTTATAACAAAATAATTGCCACAAGCTCTCCATGTACCCATGGATACTGTCAATAATTTGCTGAATGAGAATATATTTGTTTCTGCCTTGTTCCATTTTTTCTTCATTTACAGTATATACAAGAGAACAACAATGAATGCCTCTAAAGTCATCAATTTCTGACCTTACACAATAGGGAAAAAACATTTCAAACTGGGAGCCTAAGGTTAACATTCTTTTGTCTCTGGGCTCTAAATGTCTATGCAGGAGCAGCATCCAAGGTCATAAAACATGAGCACCTGGTTTGTCTGTCTGCTTGCTTTTGTTTTCCCTAAAATCCCTTCTCCAGAAAAACCTAAAGTTCCTTGACATAAATTCAAATGACCTACTTCATGGAAAGTTTCCAACACGGTGCCTAGAGAATGTTGATTTACAATAAATGTTAGTTACTCCCTTTGAAATTTTCACAATTAATAGCAAATTAGAATAGCATAAATACGTATAATCGACTTCTATCTTTAAATCTTATTTAGTTGACATTTTCAGCTTCAATAAATGGAACTTTCCCCCTTCCTCTTTGTTCTCCAACGGTAGTCTAATTATGGGTAAAATGATTTAAACTAGAAATCGACAAGCTTTTTCTGTCAAAGAACCAGATAGTAAATAGTTTAAGCTATATGGGATCTGTTGCAACTACTTGGCAACTATTCAGCTGTTTCTGGAGCATGAATCAGCCATCAGAGAAAATGCATAAACAAAGAGGCATGGCTGTGTGCCAGGAAGCCTTATGTACTAAAACAGGCAACAACCCGTATCTGGCCTGTATTAGTTTGCTGACCCCTCATTTAAATGAGTCTGCCCTTGGTAAAACTTCCATAGGATCTTATTGCTCAGTCAGAGTAACACCTGATGCTAAAGTTTCTCCATCCTGCTCTGCATCCAAGCCTCTTGGAAGAACAGGCACAGGAGACTGTCCTCTTCTGCAGGTTGGTGTGGTTCCAGCAGAGATGGTCACCAAGGTATTGAGAAGAGAGAAGCAGAACAGGGAAAGATGACTGAAAATCACCTTGCATCACGTTAGCTCATTCTCATTTTGCAGAAATTGTCATGTTCCTTTTATGTTTTCATTACTGGACCAAAAAATATATCTTCCACATGAGAAGAAATATACGTGAAAGAGATGAAGGGGATTTTCAGATGTAATTTGTCGCAACTTCCTATTGTATAATTCCAAATCACTAGTCTTGCCCTCTTATTACTACAAATATAGCATAGAATGGATCATCAATGTGTGTTAAAACACAAAAATCTGATATTGTCGATATGCCATTATTGAGTAAGAAAGAGGTCTATACCTTGAGATTTCATTAACTCTGAGATCTTAAGAGGATGATCCTGAAGCACATTGTCGGTCTCAGAGAATTCACCTAGTTTGATTTCGTGATAACACTTTTATCTGCCTCTCACCCTCTTTTTAATTTCCATTAAGCGTTAAAAAGCTAGTAAAGCAAAAGCACTCAAAAATCAGGGAGGAAGAGTTTGCGAAGGAAGTGGAGGGAAACATTTGCTTTTATTTTCTTATCTCCTTTCGGTAAATGCAAATGTCACTGATGATAATCTGCCTTTTTGCTAAACAAGTTTCTACTCAGGTCTGAAAGAGAGAAAAAAGACAGGGAGTATTAAAGTTAAAAGCTTAGCAATTGATGAGAATGTGAGAAATGTCAGTGGTGTGTGTGCTATAAGGCGGCAACACAGGTGGCCTTGCAACTTGCCTGGCATATGGATCACACTAAATATGCTCCACAGTCTATCAAAAAATGTCATAGATAACAGTTGCAATTATCAATTCTGTGAGCAAACTTTGACTATCACCCAGAGTCCATACTTGCTGCATTTCAAAGCTGAGAATGCACATTTATTCTACAAATTCAGCTGCAATAACTCTCCACTTCAATGTTCTTGGCCACATGTGACTGGTAGGGCTCAGAAAAAGAATTGATTGCACAGGAGTAGATGGCAGGGAGCATTGCTAAGCACTAAACTAATTAAATAATATCAGCAACTAGCTGCTTTAGCTAGAAATATACTCCCATCTCTAAACTTCCATAACACTTTATATTTGTATACTTTAACTTTTTTTAATTACAATGAAACATATCTATTTTTTAAATGAATGACATGAACTTTATTGGACAGTATACTTGATCTTGAAAACTTGCCTCCTAATAAACAGAACTGATACGAATAACCATCAAAGGATTTTGTAAGTTGGTCTCAAAAGAAAACAAGTTACATGGCTGACACTGTGGAGACTTCCTTTCTTTCCTCTTAAGTCAAAGACAGTACTTGATACTATTAGATCATTCTTATTTAAGGCCTCACGATTTTCATATTCCAGAAACCCTTGTGAAAACGTAGCCAGCCTGACCAAGATGCTATGAGAACAGATGCTGGATAAAGTACATGAGATATGGTGGATAGAAGAGAAATAGCCGAAAGAGAAGAAAGGATTCCAAAATGAAAAATAGCAGATAAATTACATATTAATGATTTTTTTATGATAGTATACTTATTTGACAGTTGGTAAGCACTTTCAGAGAAACATATTTCTTACTGGTCAACTAGTTAAAATAGTTCAAATGTATTTCTGATGCTAGTGTTCGTGGGCAATGGTGAAGGAATCATGAACAAATGAAATTCTTCAAACCTCATGGCTGATAAGCAGTGCTATAACAACTTGTTTTTCCACCAACTCTTTTAACAGAACCTCTAACAAGAAGCAGAATCTTCTCATATTAAGGTTATATCCTTTCATTCCCTCTGTCCACCTTCTTAATTGGATGCACAGGAATAGTGAAATGGCCAGAGGGCAGTGGGAGAGGACAGAGGAAGGTCTCCAGGCAGCTTATTAACCTATTTCTGAATAAGTGTTTTAAATTCACTAGAAGAGGAACAGTTCCAATGCCAGCTTTCTTTGCAGGTGAAGGAAGAAGGGAGGAGAAAAGAGAGATGATGATGAGAAAATATATGCAGAATGCCTGCTTCACAGGAAGGCCAGTAAGGATGGTCACTCAATGACCACAGAGACTAGATATTTTCATTCCTGTGTTTTGAGATTTACTATGAGTAGCCAGAAGGACCCGGCACAGCAAAGTGGTGGTGTTTGGGCTTTGCTCCACCAAAATCAATGACCCATGAAACTCTCCACTAATATGAAGCTGAAAACAGACAGCCCTGGGACAAATTTAGCCATGAACAAGCTGCATATGGTTTGTGTCAGGTGTCCATCCTAAAGGCAATATGGAAGAGTAGCTTTTTATGTTCTTCCATGAAAACCAGTATCTTACTCCCACTGTAAGCCCCAGGGGCTGGTGACAAGAGGCATTGCATTCGTTATGGCAAGGGGTGAATTTGTGCTGGACTTTGAAGGAATAGGTTGTCCTCCTTTTAGCTAATATAGTTTTCAGAAAAGGTGGACATGCCAGGTACCCTTTATAGGCTAAATAATCC